AAATTATTTTAAAAAATATAAAATTCATTATAATTTTAAAATTTATGCATCATAATTTTTAAAACTTATTTTGATTTAATTACATCCTCAACACAGATCGTATATAAGGCCAAGCCTTTACATCGTTCAACACCTGCATTCAGTGACACCGCTTAGAACCCTTATAATCCTTTAGATGGGGTCAGAACCTGAAAGCCATATCAATGCATACAACAACCATTTTGACTACACCCTGTACACTAGATGTTGTGATTAAGACACATACATTAGATTGTGTGCTAAGCTAGGATTAAGATATTAGGTAAGTTTTCTTATGCCCTGTCTATAATTATTTATTGGTTTGGTTTCCCTAGCCATGCCTCATTTGGATTGTGATTTTTGTGTGTTTATTGATTTTGGGACATGTATAGGGAGTCAAGCCTACAACACACACACATATAGAATAAAGAGGATCAAGTAATGATTTCAATGCTAACTCTTTTTTGTAGGCACTATTAAGCTCCTTCCGCTTGGAATAGATAATATGTGTTGCATGAGATAACTAATGATAACTTTTCTGCAGTTCAAGTCCTTTTATTTCTTTTATCATGTATTTGATAGAGCCCTTAGGATTGCGTCCGTATTGAAAATAAGGTACGGACACAGGTTCTTAGGTGCAAGCCACATTGAACTATGTGATGAGGGACCAGGAGCAGTAGGCTGGTGTCCCGTACCATAAGTCTGAATTCATATTCTTATATATAATTAAAGTCAAGTGTGCTTATGTGATGCTTGACCACCTTTCTTTATTTGCTAGTATACATAGCTGACCCAACAACACTGGCCTATTTCCTTATTTTGCTTGACGTGCTTTTACTTTTTCTACTGTGTGCATGAAATTGCAAGTTATGTCATTTTTTATGTGTAGTTTGTCTGTGATTAATCATGAAATGAAATTTAGGCTCTTTAGGAACTAAGTTTTTAAATCATTCAAAAATCTTAATAAAGTTTTAAGACTAATTAAACTTTGGGATTAAAACATCCAAAGATTTTAAAACTGCACTTTACTTTCTTGCATGACCTTTGGGCCTGTTTTAAAATGAAACACATTGCATGGGCAAAAACCAAATAATGCTAATAAAGCTTGAACAATCTACGGATGGTTTAGGTAACTACATTGCATTTTGCATGTCCTAAGGAGGAGTACATGCACTCCTCCAAAGAGATTGGCCCAACATAAATTTTTGTCTTAGGCAGTTGTCTAGAATGTCCAGATCTTTAGAAGGCCCCTCCACCTTAATACCTTTTTGTGAGAGCATTGTAGCTTGATAGGCTAGACCTCTCTTGCCTCTCTTAGAGGCAGCTTGCCACTCATGTTTGGCAAGTGTAAACCCCACCTCTATGAAATCCAACCTCTAGAATATAAAAGTAGTACCTCTTTCTCTTGACTTCAGAGTTACCGATGTTCCTTTAAAAGATGCAATTAATGGATTACTGGTGAAGGAGCCTCTAGTTGATTTGTGTTGACTACCTTTTCAATCAAGCAGACTTGGGGTCCAAATAGTTTGGGAAGAAGGATCCATGGTGTCCTAACTTGGCTATCTCCACCTGATTAAGAACACTCTTGCCTTTCCATTACTTACCACCATTGAGCCCTGTTGCTTCTTTGACATTTTTGTCAATGTCATTTGACGATCCTCACTTAGCTGACATGTCACTGCCAGTTTAGGACATGAAGATTTGTTATCTTCCCTTAAGACCTTATCTATCCTCAAAGCGATGATATGTTTTCTATCAAATGACCTAGTTGTTTCACATGCCTTGATTGCCTATGAACTGTTACCCATTTGGGGCAGTGAGAGACTTACTCTCTACCCTGTGGCTTACCAAGGGCTCAAAAAACATCGGGATGTTTTCAATGAGACAACAATCCTTTGTGACACCCTTACTAATTGTCATTCAATTGTAAACAAAACTTTTTTGATCGAGAGTATTCTTAGAAAATACCAAAGATGGGATACGTCCCGTTTAAAGCACCCTTTACCCCATAATAAATTTATAAATTTTGTTCTCTAGTTTGAGTAGCTTATGCAGGTACTCTTTTGTTGATACTCAATTCAAAATGTTTATCTCTAAACTTGTTTAAACGTCTACTCGTGACCTGTCACATGAGGTTTTTTGTGCATAGGCTTTTCACATTCTTTCTCTTATTTCTCTCCTTTGTTATATATCTTTTATTTTCAACTCTTCTCTTCTTTAGATCATCTATATGACCCTGAAGATAGATTAACAAGTTGACTACTCTATAAAAAATAAAAAAGAAAGAAAAACCAAAACAAAGAAGTCAAATGTCTAGTCTGAGAAAAAACCCTATCCCAAAAAGGATATTTTGTTAATTATGGTTAGCCCCTATAAACTGTGCTAATACTAAGTTATATTTATTCAATATGTAACTTGTACACAAAATTACAACTTCCCCAGAGCAGTTATAGTTGACTCTCGACATGTCATCACTCCAATAAAAGCACATCAACCTACTGGAATCATCAATCTAGAAGTCTTTATCCCCATAGTGGTCATAGTTTACTCTTGACAGTTCATCATTCAAAAAAAAAGCACATCAACCTACTGGAATCATCAATTCAGAAGTCTCTTGCAAACATACTTTCTACGTACTGCCTTTCTGTGAACAATTGTAATAAAGCAGTAGTGTTACCATTTTTAATTTCCACTCTTCTCTCCTTTAGAATGAAATTGAACACATCTCATTTTGAGAAAAACCATTTCTCTACTTCACAAACTTTTGTAACAATAAATTTGAATGCATCAGTAGCTCCAACCCCTACTTTCGTCATCAATTTAAGCACATCTCCATTGATATCACTGACACCCCAACTTGTTCTCATGAGATGTTTGTCAACAAAATCTTTTAAGAAATGGTTATAACTTTAAAAAAAATTTATAATTTTCCAATTACCGCACATGTAAACGTCATATCAACTCAAGGCTGAACAACCAATCCTAGTATGTGTTCTTTTAAACTTAAATGTGCTATTGAGGTTAGGTTAAAGTCATTTGATTTGATATACCTTAATTTTGCCAAAAAAATGTACATGGTTCTATCGAATAATGAATCCAATGTGATGTGAATAAGCACAATACAATTCATAAACCTCATTTTCATTTTACACAGTGGTGTCAAGCAAAGTGTCACAATTGAATCACCATCCAAAATGTCTAGCTAATATGAATGCACATACGAACATATAGTTTATAAATTGCAAGATTTCAAAATGTTATTATATTATTGTAGTATTGACGTAATAATGGAATGGTATTGGGAGCTAATGGAGTGGTATTGGGGTGATACTAAGGTGGTATTGGGGGTTTTTAGAGAAGATATTGAGGGGGGGGTGGGGGAAAGGGGTATTGGTGTGGTGTTGAGCGGTATTGATGTAGTAGTTTTGTGGTATTGGGGTGATATTGGTGTGGTACTGTGCTGGTATTGATGTGATATTATGGTGATAGTGAGGTGGTATTATTGTGGTATTAGGGGTCTTAGAAGAAGATAGTGTTGGAATGGTATTGGTGGTATTGAGATGGTATTGGGGTTTTTAGTTGGGATAATGATATGGTGGTATTGGTATGGTATTATGTTGGTTTTAGGGTGTTATTGAAGGGTGGTATTGAGGGTTTTGGGAGAAGATAGGTGGTATTGGTATGGTATTATGTTGGTTTTAGGGTGGTATTGAAGGGTGGTATTGAGGGTTTTGGGAGAAGATATTTAGGGGGCAGTATTAGGGTTGTATTGAGGGTTTTATGAGAAGATATTGACGTGGGTAGTATTGAGGTGGTATTGATGTGGTATTTTGGTGGTATTAGGGTGATATTGATTATTTTAAATAAAGATATTGAAGGGATAGTATTGAGTGGTATTGATGTGGTATTGGGATGTTATTGGGGTGATGTTGAGGGTTTTGGGAGAAGATATTGAAGGAGTGTTATTGATGTGGTATTGAGGTGATATTGAGATGGTATTGAAGTGGTATTGGGATGATATTGTGAGTTTTTGTTTAATATATTAATGTTGTTGTATTTAGGTTGATATTGGGGTGATATTGTGATAGTATTTGGGTGTATTCCTATGGTGTTGGGGTGATGCAATGTTACTATGTTCATTTTTTGTTGGGTGGTATTGGCGTGCTCTTGGTATGGTATTGAAGTGATGTGAAGTTTATAAACTCAAATGCACCAAATCATTCACGCCTCTTATGTCAAAGACAATAGACTATGATGTTATAAACATTTACTATTTAAAAAGTGGTGATGTTGGGGTATTGGAGTGAAATTGTTGTGAGAAAGAAATTTAAGCTTGTAATATTAACATAACATTGATTTGAGCTACAAAAGAGCAAAAGCAAGAAAATAAAGCAGTATGGTGATTTCAATGATAGAAAAACTCACTTCTATTTTATTCTTGTTACCATTTTGAGAACTCTCCATCATCAAAATTGATTTGCTGTCGATTTACTGTAGCCCTTATCTCCTTAATATGCTGCAACAAGTTTTGAAAAACCCTATAATGTCAAGAAGAAATGAACTCGGCTATGGAAAATAGAATAAGGAAACTAGAAATCGTGGGTCTAAAAATAACAATGAGGCATGGCGACACTTTTTGTACTGCCTTTTCACGTAATATTTAGGGCTGTTTAGGCCGGATTAAAAAATTTAGCTTTTTCGTCCGGTTTTTTAATAATGGGGTGGGACAATTGTTTTAGGGGTGTCTTTATTAGAGTTTGAACATAAAACTCTCCGCACCCAATTTTCTCTTCAAAATTAGAGCCTTAATAGGCTTGAACTCAATATACTTAAACACTAAAAATTTAAATTAACTTTTAAAGTTCTTTTATTATATAATTTGATATAATAGTAGTATTAAATTATAATATAGATAGTTCAAACAGTTAAATATAAATATCTGAGTGTGCGGTATGAATACAATTATACAAACTCTTTTCTTTATAGAAAAATAAAAAGGAAAATCAAATGGCTATTGCAGCGATGGGCTTTGCAGTTTCCCCCAATGGATTTTCCATATTTTCTGCAAATCTCTCGGTCTCTCTCTCTCTCGCGCGTCTGTTTTTTTGGTTCACTGTTAAAATTCTTCTCAATTCTAGAGACACGAAGAAGACGGTTCGGATATGGCGACGTTACTTCTTCCTAGTTCTCTTCATAAGTGGCGTATGGTCATTGCATACGACGGAAAGAAGTTTGCAGGTCCATAGAACCCAAAACCCTCGCTTTTCTCAAGTTTTTTTTTTCTCTTTTTTGGATCATGGATTTAATTCTATAAGTTTTTTATTGGGTGGGGAGAGTTATGTTTTTCTTTTGTTGACTGCCTGGATTGTGATATGTCTAGAGAGTGAGTCATGTGCTCATTGTAGCCGGAAATTCATGCACTCGCAGTATGAAAAATTAGAATTTTGTAGGTGGAAATCTCTGGAGGGAAAGCAACATGTCTTCAAATGTTAAACTCCACTTGTTATGAAAATAGTATGGAGTTGGTCCAACTCGTGGAAGGAGCGCAATAATATATTGCCTCCGAGGCAGTCAATATAAAGCAGGGTACATCGAGAGAGCTGTCGGGCGTTGGCAATGTAAGCCACATTTGTTGGCCCCGATTGTGATAAAAGGCGGATAAGTCCATGCTCCATAAGATGTCTGTGAAACTTATCAGAATTGGACATGTAAGGAAAGCATAGGAGTGAGGAAGTGCTATAGAAAGCTTACTTGAGGCAGGTATTACCGGCAGAACTTTCTGTCCTATATTCCATCACCAAATACAGAAAGGGTTAGGCAGATATATAAAGAGAGCACTGAGGTCACTGGAATCAGAGTTAGTTATGGGTAGTAAGTAGAGAGTGAATGAGTGTGGTGCAGAACTATAGGGTTGTTAAACCCCCCCAAAGTTGCTATCGGATGAGATGATTGTAAGTTTGTCCCAGAGCCCGATGAATTGAGTTGAATTGTGGCTTTAGTGAATTCACCTGTCACTTGATCAGTGGAGCTGACACGAGCAATTTGAATGTCCCCGAAACGAATGCGATCACAAATGAAATGATGGTCTATTTTCACTTGATTTGTGTGGGAGTGGAAAATGGGATCGAGACTGATGGCGATTGCCAAGGTATTGTCACAATGTATTGGGTTTGCAAGGAGTATAAGTCATCTAGCCTGATGGGTTCAGATCTTGTTCGTATGGCTGCCTTAAAAGATTGGTAGGAGTAATGTAAACAATTTATATTGTGACATATCATATCTTCAGGATCAATATGATCACCAGCTGCGGTTATGTTGTCAACAAGTGATTTGATTGCCAAAAGATATTGGGACATAGTTTGATTCTTTATTGAGATGCGGTGTAACTCATTTCTTAGTTGCATAACCTTGGATTTGTGGGTCGATTGAAGTTTTGATTGTAGAGGTTTCCAGATTTTGGTTGTGGAATCAAGATTATGTATAGCAGAATTTTTTGTGACAGAGTATAAAACAACTGTCAAAATTTGATCAATTTGCTACCAGCTCATGAATGAGGATTAAGTATTGTTTGTCCATTATTTTCTTGAATTTCATATGGAGGATCGGTAGCAGATCCTTCCATATAGTTGTTAAAGTCATCGGCCTTAAAGAGTTTGTGAATTTGGGATTTCCATTTTGGATAGTTTTCAGCAATGAGCTTAATGTTAGCGATAGCTTTTACATTTGACATTAAGAATTTGATAGATGGGGGAATAGGGATATCACCCATTGTTGAGATGGTGGAGTTGGATTGTTGGTTTGTGTATGAGATGTCTTAAACATTTGGAGGAGGAAGGCTTAAGGAGAGAAAACAATGTCTTAAAAGGACTGAAAACAAAGCCTTTCTTTGATAGCATGAAACATATAAGATATTAACATGTAAGGAAAGCATAAGAGTGAGGATGTACTATAGAAAGCTTACTTGAGGTGGGTATCACACAATAAAATTTCCTGTTGTTATATTCCATCACTAAATACAGAGGGTTAGGCAGATATATAAAGAGGAATGACGTTTCTCGAGAGGATCTTGTGATCTCTTGAATTAGAGTTAGTTATGATAATAAGTGGAGAGTGATTGGACACTATAGGGGTGTTAGTCTTGGAGACATCAATATGTACATTGGCACTCTTTTGTAGCATTAAACCAAATAACATGGGCACTGAATCAAAGGTGGGAGGCTATCTATAGAAAACATTATTTTTGATATATTTCAAATGTTTGATCTAAAAAAAGTAGATTAGAGATCATTTGTGCAAACAAATGTTCATTTGGGAGGTTTGAGCTGTCTTGGAGCTCAGGCCCCAATCATAGAGCATAAGCATGAGCTCTTAGTCATCAATTTTGGCACCTAAGTACCCCAAACAACCAATTTTGGCGCGAGAACAGAGAATTAGGTTTTTAGGGGCTCATAGTTGATTTTGACATGCTCGAAACATGTTGAATTGAATTCAAAAGATGGAGAGCATGCCACCTAGGCTTAGAAGCCTTAGACTGGGGCATGGGCTGCGAGTAATCCTCCACAAATTCACTTCTTCGTGTTAAACACTTTGTACCCTTCAAAGGTATTTTTTCCTATATTAGCAAATATTTAAATTATTATAATTAATTTCTAAAATTTAGAAAATGCCATGCAAAATTATTGATTTCAGGCTAAGAAAATAGATATCAAATTTACTTTTATCATCTAAGGTTGGCCTTTACGTGGGATTAAAGGTGATTACTGTAGTATTCCCAAAGGTGGAGGTTGTATTGAACATAATTAAAGTGGCATATCAAGTGTTGGTGTCTGCAAGGGGGTCAATGGTGGTGATCTTAAGCAACAAGCCTAGAAGGTTGCAGTTGCTGCAAGTCTTGGGCCAATGAATATGATAAGTCTAGAGTTATCAACAATGATTGGCCTAAGCTATAAATAAATAAAGATTAAGGGACCTGTTGACTTAATGGCTTTTGTGATAATGAGAAAAAAATGCAATGGATTTGATAATAATGAACCTTAGTCCAAAAAGTATAGTAGCAGTGAAGCCTCATATTAGGGCATTCCAGCAGGTTGCAGTTAGTTTTGTCAGATGGTGTACTGCCAATGGCATCCACACTAAATGCAGTAGATTGTAGTTCTTATTTGTGTCAAATTAAGATTATCACTTTTGGATTGCATTGAAACAAAAAGTGGTGCTTTGTTGATTATTGCATTAGCTTGTGCAAATTTGGATTAAAATTAGGGGAAATTTACTGACATATCCACTAATTTGTGGAGAGATGATTGTGGTTACAGTGATAGAGGGGTAATAGAATTAATTTCCTTGTTATATGTATGAACATAAATTTATAGTGAGGAGCCCAGTAAATTAAAGAAAGATTTTTGACATTGAATTCATGGTATTTTTAGTAATAGTACAAACCTTCTTCACAAAGGATAACTCTTTCTTTGTTTTTCCTTACGACCTATTTATGTTGACTATTACCAGTGAGATAGGGGGGTAAACTTCTTTTTTCTTTTTTTTGGTAGATTTCTTGATGAATAGATTTTACTTTGGATATTTTGGTATATCGTTTCTTTGACTAATGACTTTTGGATCCAACCTAACTCATACCTGATGAGAATTCCAATCCATCATGCGTGAACCAAATGCATGAGTTTAGAACTCTTTATTTGAGATCATATTGCCTGACATGATGTGCTGTTGAATTTTTTAGCGCTGATTATTAGCAAGCTGATTTCTTCAGGATCACTTTGAAGTTCTTATTTGCTTTCTTTAATGAAGATTAGTTATGCTTGACCTTGCCTCTATGTATGAGTGAATAACTTGTAACAACTCTATGTCAACTTTTGACATTGGACATTACTTTCTTCAAGAAAAAATTCCTAATTATGAAAATTAATGGACATCTGTTAATTTGAACTATTTTTAACCCATAAACATATATGGGTACTTGTTAACTAGGAAATTGTTTTTTTTTAATAATAACTATTCATCTGCATGGACTGATATGTGTCACATCAGCTTATAATAGTATTCTATGCCAACCATGTTTTCGAGTTAAGGCGTTTGATAAACTGCCAACTATATCATCAACCCCAAGTACCTAATGTTGACTTCTTTTATTTTTATTTTTATTTTAGGGTACATACCACACAATTCTTATGACTTTGCATATCTAACACCTCAACATTCCATTTACATGCATTCCACTTAAATCTTTATAATCTCATAAAAAACACCACCATCACTACCTTTTTAAATGTGAAATACACCTTTTCCTGCATATGCTTATGACAGCAAGGTTTCATATCAAACTTTTTGTGTTAGATATGTAAATACATAAGAATTGTGTGATATGTATGTAAATTTTCCTTTTTTCCCTAGACCACTTTCTCTTCCCTTTGCCAGTCCTTCATAGTTGTTTTGAACAAAAGCTAAGGAAAACTTTTCATTAATTCATGGAAAACTACTATTTCATCAGGTAAGAACTCTAATGCTAAAGTTTTTTACTCTCTTAGTTCTTACTTGAAGTTTTTTTCATCTTAAATTTATGCATGCATCTAGATTCTCTTATTTATTCAATCCTTAGGATGTCTAGCCATCCCATATGATTCCCAAAATATGACTCATAAGGAGCTTCCTCCTGAATTGTGCCGAATGCTTGTTGAATAATATAAATTATACTTCCACCAACCTTCCTTGTTCTATCTTAACCAATATGTCGTCTTAGGATTTAATACCTTGCTCTTGTTTGAAGGCAAGGCCTATGCATTCTCCTTTGATTAGCTTTAGCTTTAAGATCTGATTTTATACAAATATTCTATTATGATTTGTGATGATAATAACCACTATTGAGTAAAGTCTTATTTGCATTCTTTTTTTAACATCATTAGTGGTGGATTTGATCAATATTCTTGGTATTCCGGCAAGTGGTTCCATCATATGGGCCATTAATTATTTTTCTTCACCAGTTTAATTGGAGATCAATACTGTATTTATCAAATTTCCTTCACCGATCATATCACAATTTATAAACTCTCTCCCTCCTCTCTGTCTATCTTTCTCATTATAAGGATTACATATTCAATACATCCTATGATATTTCATTCTACAAAAAGTAATTACTATGGAAAATTTAGCCTAAGTCTTATTTAATGGTCTATTTCCTTTTTAATAGCTCAACTTTTATGTTTATTGTGTTATATTTTCCATCTTGCACACTATTGTCCACTTTTGATGTCTGTGTGTTGGCTATCTTATTGAAATTATTCTATCCTAATTTTTAATGTAAGAATTGCACCCATTTTCTTGCTTCAATTTTCATCTCGTCACGCTTGGCTTTGCTTGATTGCCTAACCTGCGAAACTTGTACCTTATATATATCGATGTAGGGGTAACATAAGGTGATCTCATGGGTCATTCATTGGATTAATTTTTCTTAAGACGGGATGATTTAACTCATGCCGAGAGATGAGCAACCACTACTTGAGATGGTTTTTTACATAAATGTTGTTGTTGGTGGTGGTGATGATTATGATGATGATGAGTGGTGTTGTTTGTGCTATTTGAAAAGTTTTTGGTATTATACCTATTTCATTTGTATTAATTGCTTGTTACTTTTCCTTGCGAATTTTTATATGACGAAGAAGAGAAAACACTATAGGTTGTTGCACTGCTACTCAATGTAATTTATATTTGAGTTATCTAATTGTTTGGTTTGCATGTAATTTATATTTGAGTTATCTAATTGTTTGGTTTGCATATCATTTATGTTACTTTTTAGATTCATGCTATATTTTAAAGGTATTCTTCGGGGTCTCTTGTGATGATTTTCCTGAAACTCTAGTGACATCTAGTATTAAATGCATTAAGAAAATGAGCTAAATCTCTTTTTTAATCGAAATTTGTGGTGTTTTCTTTATTTTATTTTTCTTAATGTATTGTCACTAATAACTTCTTCTTGTACGGCCATGGTTGGAATGTCCCTACATTTGTTGGCAATATGCTCATTAGTAATGTTCATGTAGAACAAATGTACTTTAAGTGTTTTGGAAGGTACTTAGTCATATCGAGCGCGTTAACTTTGTCACACATTGCCTTTCTTAAACCTTAAATGTTGCTTCCATTCTCGACCTTTATTCAAATATGGTTGCTCTTTTGTCTAGATGTGAAAGAGGTTTTCAAGGCTGTAGGGTCTTCCTTGTCATTACTATGATACAGTAGCTGTCTTGTTAGACATGCTTATCCAAATTTTATGCTCATTCTGTTTCTACATTTTATGCTCGACCACCTAGGTGGATTTAGTTATCTAAGGAATCCTGCCTCTTGTGTGGCTTAGATTTTTCTTCTTGAGAGGGCGGATTTTAGGGGGACATGAGAAACATCATCTCATTAATATCACATTCTAATGATTGCAATGAACCATATTATCATCAACCAACATTATGTTCAGCATTGCGTGCAATCTATTCTTTTGTCAACATCTAATATCATATGCATCACTAGCACATCATTAGTGTAGTAGCATAGCATTAACTTGCCATTGCATATCATTAGCATTTAGTAGCACATCATCAGTGAGAGTCACTAATATATTTATCAATGACCTGGATTAGAACTGAATATCAAATTCATCTCTAGAGATCCAGAAATCGGAGAATTGTCATATATGATTTGTATTTGGGGCTAATTTAGTTTTCAAAGTGCTATTTTGCTACCTTTATCATTTTATTTTTTATTTTTATTTAAGCTCCAATGTGGAGTTTGAAGCCTTCTCTTAAAAGTTTATATAAAGTGAGCTCAGAAAGACCTTGCTTGTTGGCTAGCTCATTCAAATCCCAGCAACACATAACTACAACCATTCACAATGTCTCTAATTTGCAATCTAATAATCCCAAGTTGTTGGCAGTGGCACCACAGTCAAATTGGTTGTGATGAATAGAAAGTTATCTTGATGAGTAGATTTTGAGAATAAATTAAAAAAGTGTGTCATCTCTTAATTTAAATTTGGTATATGTGAGCACCATTGTCTAGAAATTTTATGTCTTTTACACGTGGACCGTTTAGAATGTAGGAGCTATAATAATTCAGTGAAGTCTTCTCGACTTTTGGAATGGCATAGCTACGAGTGAGGGCATGTTGGCTGCGGATGCCACCCCTCCAGAAGTTCTTGTTTGGTTCAGTCTATTTGGGTGTTCAAAGATTTGAATTTCACATCAATGGTTTTGCTTGATCTAATGAGTGTTTTTATGATCCCAGCATTTTTTTTTATTATTATTTTTTTCACAATGATGGGTATTTGAGTTCATATAACTTGTCATTCTTAACAAAAAATGTTTGGGAGAAGGTTGCCTTATGTATGTCCGTTAACATAGTTGATTTCTGCACGTATCTTAAAATTGATTTTTACTGTTTATAAAAGATCAATGTATCTTCTTAGGTTCTCGTTAACTTCTGACAATATGCCAAGAAAATCACCCTTTGCCTAGTTCTTCTTTCGTAGTCCAGTCAAATATATTTATTTGAAAATTCAGTTAAATCTTTTTATTTGGTAGCCTAAAATGCTGCGTGTATTATCTTCATCTGTTTAATGGGATTCGGATTCTTGACCTGTTTCATTGGTTGTCAATGGCAGCAACTAGTCGATTATTTAACCAGTGTTCTTTTTGCTCTCTTTATTGATCATTGACTTGTGAACTGTTTAACTGCTTTATAGGAAGTGCTTGGTGCAACATCATTTTCTTTTCCATGATCTCGCTGAAATTGTTTGTATCCCATTTACAGGTTGGCAATTCCAAGCATCACCACCAACAATACAGTGCTTTATCGAAAAAGCCTTAACACGCATCACAAAACTTGATCGTAAGCAGCTTTGTTTGGCTGGCGCAAGCAGGACTGATGCTGGTGTTCATGCATGGGGTCAGGTTTGTTGTTTCATGAATGGGAAATCTATTAAATGATGCCAGTAAAGTGACAAACACACACACACACACGTATATATATGTGTGTGTGTCTGCGCGAGCCCGCGTATATATAATATTTTCTCTTTTGCTACAAAACTTTCTATGTTTCTCTTATTTTGGGAACAAATTTGATCTTCTATTAACAATTTTCTTTCAAGTTCAGGAGTAATTCTATATGAATCTCTCATTTTTTTTTTTAATTTTGTTTTTGTATTATAGGATACCACTAGATTGTGAATTTGGATCCATCATTTTTTCTCAGGTTGCACACTTTGTAACTCCTTTTAATTATGATTGCTTGGAGACTCTTCATGCTGCACTTAATGGCCTTCTTCCATCTGAAATCCGAGTGCGGGAAATCAGTCCAGTAGGTCTTGAGTTTCATGCTCAGTTCTCCGCAATCAGTAAGCTATATCATTACAAGATCTATAACAATCCTGTCATGGATCCATTTCAAAGTAATTATGCCTACCATTGTGGTTATAAACTCAACCCAGTTCTCATGAGGGTGGCTGCATCATATTTTGTTGGGGGGCATGACTTCACCTCTTTCGCTAATGCATCACGCAACAATGGATTTGTCAATCCAGTGAAGGAAATCCTCCGCTTCCATGTCAAAGAAATGGTACAATATTTCTTTATATGGGCATGCTTCTTTGTCATATAAATTTCTTTTACTTCTGTTCATACCATTATCAATCCTCCCTGTCTTTTTCTTGCTCCGTAGAGGTAATAGATTGACAATAGCATGCGAATATTTTTCAGGGTCCTGTTTTACAAATTGAGGTTGAAGGTACAGGTTTCTGTACAGACAAGTTAGGAACATGGTGAGTTTTTGGTTTCATGATGAAACTCATCCTGACAATTTCTTACTCCTTTTCATTAATAACGTCGAAATTTAAAAGGATTTTATTTTAATAGATTTTAATATAAAGCATCCCCTCTATGGTTCTCGATATCTTTGTTTCTACTTTATACGTTTTTTTCTTACTTCACCTGGCTGATGGATGATATATGAATGATATATAGAATTCTTTCTCAAAATTATCTTTCAAATTACCCTTGTTTTTTAAAGAATAACATTTAATGAGATCCTTCATTTTGATTATGTCGATTGTTTATAACATTACATTTAAGTTAAATACACATGAGGAAAGTAAAGCATGTTGATTCAATCAAGTTTTTAAGGCTGATACTGACCTTATTTCAAATAAACGAATCCTTATTTAACATGGATATGTCGACTTATTGATAATATATGGTGATTTTGTTGTATATCATGTTATATTGCTGTATTTTGGATTGTTTAACGACATTAGAGAATAGTAGTTGCTTCTTACCACAAAAGTTTTCATATTGTTTGATAGAAACTCAAAACCTTTCAAATGTTTTTTACTTTGCTCTTGCAATGATAACTTCAATCTTTTATCTTTTATTTGACAAAACTAAAGGCCTTAGCTTCCCATAAACTTGATGTTGTTCGTTAAGGAAATATCTGAGACTTGATCCCAACTTTCGCAGCCCTGTTTAACTGTATACACCTATTAGGATATGATTTCAGACTTCAGTCAGGTAGAACCAGTTGTGGCATTTTTTCTTTCATTTTTCTATTGCAGGTTGCATTGTTGATTGAGATTGGCCGTGAAACACTACCGCCGGATGTGGTGATGGATATCTTAGCTGCTTGTGACCGCCGAGAGCTTGCAAAGTTTGCAATGTCAGCGCCTCCCCAGGGGCTTCGTCTCATGTCTGTTAATTACAGTGATGATATTCTGAAAGCTCCTGCAGGCTGCCCTGCTGTTAGTTTTGGCAGGCCTCAAACTGCGAGTAAATGCAAACTCCCTTTTTACTGAAATGTTGTGGGAACATTTTATTTTCTTTTCGACAAATTTGGATTATTTGCATCCTTGGCGCCTCAATTTAGCCTCACAATTCATCAAGATAGATCAGTCATGTATCCAGGCCAATCAATTCATCCCATCAACTTAACCAACTAATTCAATAGGCCAATTCGACTTGTCATCTACAGCAGGTCATGTTGCGAGTTCTCCCATAAAGAGGTCGTCCGGCCACTCATCGGATTAATCTATTCTGTACTTTATTTCGTATACCGTATAATATATTGTTTATTTATTGTATAGTATTTTATTTTGCATACCTCATGCCAACTCAATTTATAAACAGAGATGGCTGCCATTAGGTATGGGAGAAGGAATCTGGAGTCGTGAGAAGAATAATTCCTTGAGATTCTATGGGCAACTCTTTGTAAGCACTCCTATATTAATAAAATTCCAGTAGATTTTTTCTCTTCTTTATGTTCCTCACTCTCCTATATTAATAAAATTCCAGTGGATTTTTTCTCTTCTTTATGTTCCTCGCTCATGCAACTCGTTCCCGAGCGATGCTTTCCCACATAAAATTCAGGATCCAATATCCTCGTAAGTGCAGTGAGCATGGACATGTCATTGACTAGACGAGGAGTTTTTCATGGAGTAGAACCAAGCCAAAAAACTATTTTATCCCCATGAAGTGGACAAGGGAGTTGTTAGTTCAATAAATAATTAAAAATGCTGATGATGGTGATGATCAAAAAAACTTTTGTGCATCTGGTGGGGGAGGCACTGTATCCCCAGATAACATTTAGCTCTCTGAAATTAGTGGTGTGTAGATTTCTCTTCTTTTGATTATGGGAGGAAGGGGAGCAAGAAGTTATGTGGAGCGGACACTGGTTGGAGAATGGATTCGAAGAGAGATTGTTGAGGCGGAAGTACCATAGAAATTTATTGTTTTAGCCCTTGAGTCTTACAAAAGCAAATCCAATTCTCCTGACTAGGTAGCATTAATCGACTCAGCTGTGTGGTTACTGCAAATTAATGACAAAATCAAATTCTATCAAATTTTTACGTATCTCAAAAAGTTCGCCCTTTGTTGATTTAATAACATTCCAAATTTGGTTATTCATCTCATTTTCCGAGTTCAAACACATATTCGTTGTATAATTCACCAGTGTCATGAAATTGCAAAAGAGTTCACAAGCATTATTGTGAATTTGTCAGGACCTAGGAGAATCACTAAAGAGTTTCGTAACTTATTTCTAGAATAAGATGTTGGAAGTGAAACATTTAGAGCTTGTAGTCGCCCATGCCGCATTGACTTATTGCCCAGGAGAAGGCTAAACTTTCACTCTTACAGTTTACAAAGCTCGCCCCACGTAGTTGGATTAAGGCTTTGTTGTTGTTGTTGTATAGTTTACAAAGCTCTATATATCTAGCCAAACAAATGGAGTTCGACAAGAAATATATTTTAGCAGTGGCGTATATGATGCTGCTCAATGCCTCATATATGAAGCTACGAGGGCAGCATCTGCCAATAAAGAATTTCTTATGTTTTAATTGGGAAGTTGATCACCTTACTAAACATGGGATGAAGGGAAACTTCAAAAAGTGTCGGCCTCGCCCCTTCGAGTGGCAAATTTTTTTTGAAGAAATGTGAGCTGATTGCTGAGTAGAGAGGAGATTGCCACCTTTCGTCCATCACCTACTAGTTATGACTCCATTAAGATTCTTGATGACTGAAGTCATTGAAGCTATTCAAAATAAATAGTATTTTTCGGAGTCCAACAACCATGAGAGTTGGAGGTCACCTCATGACAAGCAAAAATTTTATGCACCATAATAATGATTGCCGGATTATGGTGGAATCCATACATATGAGAAACTTGATTGAAGAATTGATCAAACCCAAAAAGTTTGATGTGTTCATTGCACTTGAGAAGAACACTGGGAAACGAGAGACTATACCCTATGAGAAAGCTCGCAGTGAACTTGCTCCATTATAAACCATTTGTATTGCAAAGTAGTCCCTCCTATACTTGGAGGGGATAAGCCTTAAACCTCTCGTCAGTCGAGCCTCAAATGACTTTGGTCAAGATTCATTAACTTGATGAATTCTCTAGTTTATCAGTTACTTGTAGAATGTACCTCCTCTTCATTGATGATGATCATTCGAGCAAACGAAACATGTACACCTAAATTATTGTAGTTATGTTTCTAATCACAAATTACTAAATTGTCAACATTATGGTTGACACTAAGAGTTCAGTAAAAATTCTCTTCAAGACAAGATGAACATGAGGACTTTGATTTTTGTACTTATATCAGATCTACTATTTGAATTTTTTGAAGAGCGGAAGGATTCACTGTGGGCATCATTGACCTATCAATCACTTGGGGAGAAGGATATACGTAATTCACATCCATGACTAACTTTATTGCAGTCAATTTGGTTGCTACGTACAATGTCATATTTGGTCAATCTTTACTGAATGCCTTTGGAGTTGTCTCAATATACCATGTAGCTGTCAAATTGCTAGAAGGCGGAGAACTAGATACCATTAGAGGAGACTTGATACATTCTCGAGCTTACCATACGTAGGCATTAGGTAATGCTCAATAGGAGACGCTGCAACTAGACAAACACAAGTAAAGTAGCATGAAGTCAAACAAAGTCGTCAAAGAAGTCATTACTATAGAAGGAACTTAGAAGAACATTCTGGCTAAGCACAATTTTCAACATTTGATTGAGAGGCGAATTGAATGCAACTCTCCGCAAATACAATGATGTATTATGCTGGTCACTTGATGAGATGCAAGGAATTGGTGTCGATGTTCAATGCCATAGACTTAACGTCAACCCCGGAGCTCGATCGATCAAGTAGAAGATGATGTCAACCTCTTACACACTTAGCCTATTTGCCAGGACGCACAGAAGCTTCTCAATGCTGTTTTTTTCTTTTTGAAGTCTAGTACCTAATGTCGTTGCTAATATTGTGATGGTGCCAGAGTTTAATAATAAATGGTGAATGTACATAAGCTACACCAATATAAAATCACTCTATCCATAAGAAATATCTTGTGGCCAACATATATGCTTTAATTTATTCTATATTGGCTATTCAGGTATAATTGTACACATTCATGACCACTACAATGCTATTTTTGTAGTTTGGCATTATTTTTTTTCCCCCTACCTTTCTTTTTTCTTTTCCTTTATACAGAGGAATGTACTTGAGCGCATCTTCATTTAATTTTATGACATTCTCAATGAAAATATCTTTCTCCAATAATGATTTCTTATATTGTAATCACAACTAAACTAATGGACATGAGCAATACTTATATCTTTTTCAAATATGATTGATAATACATATGAAAGATTATCAGAATCATAATAAAAATATTCATTAATATTTTTAAAACTCTTTAACTTGTTTTGGCTATAAATAATGAACCACAATAAGGCATTCATGGCATGGTCTAGAATAAAAATAATCTAAATATCCACATTTCAAAATTAATTTTGTCAAAAATTGGTACATTATGACTATTATGACCAAAAGAAAAAGTAATTTGTTCTTGTATAATTACAAAATAGACTTTAGTTCCTAGGATTTTTAGACCAAATCTAGAGCCTAAGCTCTAAAAATCAATTACAAGGTGAAGGCACACAAAGAGAAATCAACTAATTTGAATTCACACTTTTTTTGCAAACTAAGATAAATGAAATAAACATTAAAACTTGAGTGTTTGGAAGTAGTACACCGAAGAAGGCTACATAGGTTTATAATTGCTAGAGCAAACAAGATGTGTATATGGATATAATATGTAACTTCGTCTAAAATAAATTTATGTCACAACATATATATGATATGGTAATTAAATTAATTTACATCAAAACACAAATAATATGTATTACTAATCATGATGAATTTAATGGTTATGCTATCAAAAGAGTATAACTGATAATAACTATTACTAATCATAATAACCATAACTAATCATGATGAATAGAATTGTTGTAGTATCAAAAGAGTATTAAACAAACTATGTTCTAGGGCATAAGTATCATTCATAGTTTAGTAAATAAGTAAGTGCAAGAAATGAAATTCATTTAGAAAAATATATTGTATGATTTAGCCAACCCTTTATGGCTTATGTCCATGACTAGTCAAAACTTAGAATAGGAACCCACTTCATAAAATAAATCTTTTCTATCAAGGCATAGAAGAGTCCTACACTAACCAGCTCTCTTTTCAGAAGAGTGCAACCCAATAGTCTTCTACATGAGGTAAGTATAACCAAATGTATTACCTACATCAGGCAAGTGCAACTCCATACTCCAATAGAAATCCTTCTAAAATCAAAGTTTTTTTCAAATCTAGGAGGTATTTGGAAATGTATGATCTATTAAACTTGAAGTTTCTCTAAAATCTATAGATTCTTTAATGCATTAAAAGCTTGCTTAAAATGTATACTGTTAAATTTATGTCATTTAAACTTGTCATCTAATAAAACTCGCTTAAATGAAACCATCAAAATATTCAAAATGAAAAGTTCAAAATAATCGGTTTAAATTTTATTTTATATAATAAAATAATTTGATAGATTATGATAAGATTTTTATAATTTGATTTTAGGAAAATAAATTTTAGTGAATGATTATTTGTAAAATAAATTCCAACTACTTGGACTCATTTAGTATAAATTCAAAATTTTGATTTATGTAAGGTAAATTTCAGTGAATGAAAAATTAAGCATTGCAACTATCCAAAATGAATTCACAATTATAAAAATTATTTAAGAAAATTTCAATAGTTATTTTAGCATATGCAATTTTAATTATTGGAATACGGAAATCAAAGATCTAGCAACTTGCACTTGAAATTCCACTAAAACCAGTTTTAGGCATAAGAAATGTGAAATTTTAGGAAAATTAATCATAATCTCAACATTTTGAAAATTAAGAACTTAATTTCAGTAAATTGAAAAACCAAATAGAATAATTTCTACAACCAAATTCAGCCCATGTAAGTTTATTTCGACAAATTGATGATGGAGTTATGATTAAGTTTTAGCACTTGAATATTTCAAGAAGGAATTTAGTTCTTATAAATTATAGCAAATAGAAAAGTTAAAACTAATTTGTTTCAACAAATATAGGTTATGGATTTACAATATTGCTAAAAGATTTGAATAGATAAAGAAGATGGAAAAATGGCCTTTTAAATTTCAACAAATAGAAGAAAAAAGTTTGAGCATTGGAAAATTGATTTCGACAATTAAAGATGTTGATTTTTGCACTTCATATTATTTCTTGCAAATGAAAAGTAGATTTTAGATAATAGAACATCAAAATTTGCAGTCTAATTTTAGTAATTGGGAAATGATTTCAACTAAAAGTTTTTTTAGCAAATGATGACAATGAATTTTAGAATTTTAGAAATTGCAGTAATAAAGATTTCAACA